TTGTTTGTATAGATTTGTCATTAAAAATTGTCATCAACTAGAAAAGTTTCGTAGTAGTAGTGTCTATCTGGCTTATTATATTTCTCTGCCAGTTTCTTCGTTGTAATATATTGCCTTCCCTTGCAGTAATTCCCGCTGTTGTTGATAGGTCTACCATGTATTTTTGTTTGTCAGCTCTAATGCTTCTCTTCACTTACTTGTTGGATTCTATGTATTTAGCCTGTGTCTTCACTTTCTCTGTTCTTGTTCGGCTGTTGTCCAGGGTTTTGATAGAGATCCATTCCTTTAGGAAGAGGCATCTTGCAGCCCAGCACCTCCTGATACATTGAAATTAGTGCTTCTTTGACCTCTTTACAGTTGTTCCCTATGGTCGTTTCCTCGTCCTTGAGTAAATTTTGTAAGGCCTGAAACTTATTGTGGAGAGCTATCTTGAATTCGTTGAGTTTGTCTGCATCTCGAAGGAAGGCTATGTTGAACCTTTATGATGTTGTTTGTCCAGTTGTCTATTGCTTCTTTAGCTTTAGTTCCATCTTGACAACAACCGGGTGGTTATCTGAAGCTACGTTAGCTCCTCCCCTTGTTCTCACGTCTTCCATTAACCGTCTGATGCAAATTTGATCGATCTGATTCCGTATAATGTGATCCGTCGAGATCCATGTAGCTTTGTGTATGCGTTTGTGGGAGAATATTGTACCGCTTATAACCATTTTGTTGAATGCATACAAATTTGCAAATCTCTTACCATCCTTGTTCCCTTCTCTCAGTCCATGTCATCCCATGATATCCTCATACCCAATGTTGTCCACTCCGACCTTGTTGTTTATGTCTCTCATAAGGATGGTCAGATCCCCTACTGAGCACTTCGGTACCATCGATTGCAGCATCTCATAAAGCTGATCTTTACCTTCTTCGTTGTTATCATTAGTAGGCACGTTACACTGGATAAGATTCATTGTAGTTCCCTCCTTTGTTTTGAAAGACGCTTTAATGATCCTGGATCCATGAGACTCTCATTCTGTGAATGCTTTCTGTGCTTCTTTGGATAATGCCAGTGCAACTCTTCGTGTGTTGGAGGGATTTTCTTCTTCATGACCAAAGTACAACAACATCTCTCAAACTTAATCTTTTCTATCCAGCTTGGGTCCAGTGCGTTTCGCTGATTCCTAGAACCCCCAAGCTGTATTTTATTATTTCGCCTGCTATCTAGCTGGTCCTCCCGGTCTCCGGAAATTCCACGTACCTTTATTAATTGTTGCTCAGGTTGCTAGGAGGAGCACCGGCCTCGTGGATTTTGAAGAATCTCGGCCTTCACCATGAGACGTTATAATTCTTCTAAATGGAGATCCTTTAACTTCCAGGGCAGAGTGGTTAAATAATTCACTATGGTCAGTGTTTTTCAGCAAGGTTGTTTTCTACAGGATTGGGTTGCTGACTCCATGCCCAACTTTCCTCCTTTACTCGAGCTTAAAACAGACAGTAATCTTACGAGGGTTCCAGCTGGAGTTATCTAAACAATAAACAGTAAAAATGTAATTTGTTTTTACTTATTAAAGCATTGAACGAAACAGTGATTTTCTCTTTCTCTCAATATTTTTTAAAAGGGTTTTAGCTTATAGAACTGTTGATATTACTAAGACTTTACAATTAGAAGAACTTATAGCTCGAGAAGAGTTAGAATATGCAATTGAAGAAGAAGTGGCTCGACAGACTATTGCAGCATGGATTGAACGATGTATTTTTAGAAATAGACAGGTAATTGTTCATTTTCCTAAAGGTTTTCTTTGCATTTAGTACCAATATTAAATATCAGTTATGTTGTATTTTACTGAGACATTTATGCTTATAGCTAAAGTGGATAAATCTTGCGCCGGGATCATTAAGATCATAGGAATTAGGAAATATAGCCACTAGCTGTATGCACCAGCTATGCCAGATAAAAACCTTTTTTAAACGCTTTGTTCCGATTTAACTTTAGGTTATTGATATGTTCCGCAGTATTTACCAACAAATTTATAGATAAAACCATAATGGCACTTGCATATATCCCTATATATTGTTAATTAGTTTCCCCATTAATGGGCTAATTACAGAGATATATATGATTAGACATTTATCCAGTCCAACTTGACTCTTAATATATCATCAACCAGTATCACAATTTTCTTTCATGACTAACCATACCGACTAACCTTATGTTGCCAACCTTTGAAAACTGAGAAACACTGGGGAGCTTTCTCATCTTGATATAGAACTTCACATTCATCTAGCAATTTAGTCAGTAGATTACTGTTTTTGACTCACCACAGATACTTACAGTTCAAGAATCTTGTAATAGGACAATTTAGCTCTCCATTAATTCATGATTTCCAATCGTTGTTTTACGAAGCTCAGTTTATGATTCAGACTAGAAAATTGCTTGAATGGCGGTTCACTATATTGTTTTCTACCCGCCCGAACTGCAATAGTCATAATGGCGTCTGAAAATGGGACTTGGTAATACTAAGCCACTGTTCCATTCAATACCACAGGTCACAGATCTTAAGCGGAACATGAGAAAATCCTATTAGTGTGTATTCCTTCAATGTATGCATTAATACATTTGGTAGTGAGACAAATATATATAGTAACACTCGATCGTTGTTATGCAGCAACACGAACTGATAAAAAAATAGAAAAAAGGGACATCATTTTCTTACCCTGCTCTAGTACGGCCGAGAGTGGGAGGAGTCCGCTCTTCCTCTTGAAATGCTCTCATATGGCCACGCGTATATAGCCTCTGTCAGGGAAGTCCTACTCACTGCGAATGGGGTGTTGTTTACGGAATTGAAAGGACGAAAAGCGAATGTCCGGCGCTTTAGCCGGGTTGGTGGACACAGAGAGTCCAACTAGGGGAGTTGGAAAACTCTGATTCTAAACCAATGGTGCACATAGGCTCCAGTATCCTGAAGGAACAAATGGCGTATGAACCAATCTTTGGTGACCGGCTACCATGGGACTACATCTCTGATGTTGCTTCACTGCCTTGTGGATCAAACCTTCAGGTCGAAGGCTCCGGGTGTAATCCCCTAGGAAAACCACCTGCTTCGGTTCGGGCACCCGAGAAATATCACAGGCCTCACACAAATCAAATGAGATTTGCGTGGGACATATGTATTTGGTGCCCCTCCCTTATCTGCTGACTCGAAATTATAAAGATAACCTACCTGTCGTAAGGCCTGATTGTCCTGGAGATCCCCAAAACAGGATAAGATAACTGTTCAGTGCTTCATGGTTTTCAATGAATTTTAAGCCAAAGTAAGTTATTGATGTAAACTAACTTTATATATATATATATATATATATATATATATATATATATAATTTTCATTTCTGTTTGGAAAAAAACAAAACAAATTAGAAACATGGTCAACTGAAATTTAAGATGCATTCAACTATTGAACGTCAAATAAGCACAAGCATAGATGATAATGATGATTTAAATAAAAAAAGTGATTTTCTAATTAATAAAAGTGTACGTATTAAAAATCAATCATCAAACATCAGTAAATCATCATCATCAACAACCACAACGACAACAACCTCATCATCATCATCATCATCATTATCATCACCACCGATAATAATAACCATTAAAGATAATGGTGGAAAATCTATGGAAAATCCAATGGATGCAAGTCATGAAAGAGCAAATAGAATATTAGCACCACAATTAGAAATTAATAAATTAACCATAAACACTATAACTACTACTTCTATTCATCATACAATCAATACTATTCCTATGACTAAATCAATAAATCTCTCTTCAATACCAACCTTAACAACTATTCATTCTAATATGATAACAACATCAACAATAGTTAACCATTCAACAATTCAAAATAATTCACTTCATCAACATTCAAATGAACATAGTACAATTTTAATAAAAAATGATTCTAATGAGATGACTACATTGACAACTACTCCTTTTAAGACAAATATGATTGGCAAACATGATGATGATGATGATGATGATACTGCTGCTGCTGCTGCTGCTGCTGCTGCTAATGATGATGATGATGATGATGATGATGATGATGATGATGATGATGGTCAAAGTTTGATCATTGAACAATATGATACAGATTATCAACAACCATTATTATTATTAGATTCAAAACAAGAAAAGAAATTATCTAATCCTATTGATAGTGGAAATAGTCAATTACATCAATTACAACATAAATCGATTTCTAATCAATTCAATATAGATCAAATAAATAATAATAATAATAATCTTATTCATTATATTAATGATAATCATCAAATAACAACTCCAACATTTATTGATACATGTTTAATGAATAATGAGAATAGAACAAAATTATATCAAACTAAAATCAATACCAAATTATCTAAATCAATGATAGATGATCAAAAATCAATACAATCAATTGAACCTTATCAAGTAACCATTATTGAAAATGTAATGGGATTAGATATGGAACAACAACACCACCAACAACAACAACAGCAACATCCTCCATTATCACCGAATATAAATACATCACAAATAATTCGTACAAAACCAACTGTATTGTCAACAATTAAATCTTTATCAAGTCATAATAAATCAAGACAAAGTGTCATTCAAAAATTATCTAAATTACCAGATGTTGTAGAAGATTCAGATGAACAAGGTGAGAAACGTTTAGTTTATACTTGTACAAATAATAAGGATAATAATGATAAAGTTGATAGAACTATATCACAAACAATGGAAATGTATAATTTGAAAGGTGATTCAATCAAAAGAAAAGATATGAATCATTGTAATATTGATAATCATTTACTATCTAGTGATTATACTACTCATATCGTTACTGGTAGTAGTAGTAGTAATAATAAATAATAATAGTAGTAGTGGTGGTAGTACTAGCAACAACAATAAAATTCAAATAAAAACAAATGATAATTCATCTATACAACACGATATCATATTACCATTACAAAATGAAATGATCAATAATGAGAGTAAATTAATGAATCCTAATTATAAATATCATCATAATATTTATTTAAGTAAACATATAAATGATTCATGTGATGATGTGAAAAAATGGTGGCGTAGTCAACTTTATCCAAATTTACAAGGACAACAACAACAACAACAACAACAACAACATCAAAGTAAACAAGCACGGATACAATCAAATATTCACCATAGTAATACTCTTAATTCTACTAATACTTCTACTCTTACACCTCCTCCTCCTCCTCCTCCTCCTTCTCTTCCTTATTCAACAACAGTAATGGATGAAGAAATTATTTCAATACTAAATAGTCCTAAAAAGAAACAACAAAGAGGACATAAAAATCAGCCTAGAATTATATCATCATTAGCTAGTAAACGACGTTCAGGTGTAGCTGCTGTAATTTCACGTCGTCCATATCATCAATCAAGAGTAAATAATCTATATGATGCTACTATTGATGAATATACAAATGATTATATTGCTAATAATAATAGTAATAGTACTACTAGCCATAGTAACAATAATACTAATCGTACTGTTACAAATATAACTAATCGTATTGACATCAAAGGAAGTCATTTATTACAGAAACATGTTTAACATTATAGGATAATATAGTTGAATGTAGTTTATTTGTTTGTTTGTTTGTTTGTTCTTGTTCTTATTGTTTATTAATGAAACAATCATTTTCAATTTCATTCCTTATGTCAATATTATTCTGTTTATTGTTTACAATTCATTGATCAATTTTATTTGTCATTTGTGTTTCTTATATTGATATATTGAAGAAAAAAAGAGAGAAAAAAAACAGAAAAGAGAGAAAAATTAAAAAATTTCATTTATATTACTTCAATCATTAGAGTTAATGTTATGTTTATCTTTTAATAAACAATAATAATAATAATATTAATATGTACTTACTTACTTACGCCTTTTACTTTTAGTCGAGCATAAGCCGCCAACCATCATTCTCCGACCAATTCTTCCCTCGAACTTCCTTTCTAGTGCTTGCTTACTTAAGCCTGTTACTCCCAGTCAAGCATAAGCCGCCAACCATCATTCTCCAACCCACACTGTCTTCGGCCCTTCTTTCCAGTTCTATCCAATTTTTGTTCATTTTTTTCATGTCTATTTCCATTTCTCAACATAAAGTGTTCTTTGGTTTTCCTCTTCTTCTTTGCTTAGCCTTGAGGATTCCAAGTAAGGCTTTTCCTTGTGACAAAATTGGATGCTTTCCTCAATGTGTGTACTATTCACTTCCAGCACTTCTTTCTGATTTCCTCCTACACTGCAATCTGGTTTTTTTTCTCCCACAACAAGTTCTTCCTGATAGTGTATGTCCAACGGGTCTGAAATAGTTTGTGTAGACAGTTGTTAACAAACACTTGTATTTTCTGGATAACATCTTCCGTAGTTCTCCAAGTTTTCGCCCCATACAGTAGAACTGTGTTGACATTTGTATTGAAAATCCTGACCTTGGTGTTGGCTGATAGACAGTTCTTTTGAGTTCCAGATATTCTTCAGTTGTAAATATGCTGCTCTTGTTTTGCTGATCCGCGCATTCACATCTGCATCAGATCCACCGTGTTCATTAATGATGCTGCTCAGTTATGTAAATGTTTTTACATCTTCCAAATCTTCTCCGTCAGTTGTGATTGGATTGGTGCATGTTGTGTTGTATCGGAGAATCTTGCTTTTCCCTTTGTGCATGTTGAGATCTACCTTCCTACTTCTTTTCAATTGTTATTCATTCTTCTCATACCTGTTTCTATTTTTTGCCGTAATGTGTTCTATGATCTTCCTCTTCTCTTTTGGCGTTGAGGATTCCATGTGAGGGCTTGCCCTGTGACGCAGTTCGGTGCTTTCCTCAATGTGTGTCCTATCCACTTCCAGCGCTTCTTCCTGATTTCTTCCTCCGCTGGAATTCGGTAATAATAATAGTAGAGAATCTATGCATTTGCATTTTCTGTGCTTGATTACTCTCTATATTCTTATACTTTGTAAAATAGTGAACATTTAGAGTACAGTTCATAATACTTATTTACTTACACCTGTCACTCCTCGTGGAAGAGCATAGGTCATTGACCAGTATTCTTCATTAAATTCATGATACAGTAGAATTACAAAATATAATTTTCTTGATTTTAACTAGTAAGTTTAATTATTCATTATTAAGTACAAAATTAACTAATCATCAGTATGATGAGTAGCAATATAGATAAATTATATGTACGAAGAGTATCTTATTACATGAGTCACCAGCAGGGTGTGCCTGAATTCTAATGACAGTCTTCACTCTGAGACTCGAACTCAGTGCCTTTTCAAATGACCGACGCATTATCCACGTAGCTGCTGACATCCGGCTGGTGAGACTCATGTAATAATAAATGCCTGTCCTGAATTACACCTCTGTACCAAGAGTATATAATGGTTTACTAAACTATCAGTGTTTTAGACGATTTTTCTAACTCTAGTAATATTTCACAATTGAATTAGGGATGAAGTTAATGGACAGGGGTTATGAAATAGCTACATTCTCCAGGTAAAGTATATACACAAATCAGGTGGTATATGTTTAAATATGCCAATGAGGTTCATATTCTGTAAGCCCTTTCAATGATACCAATATAGATAATAATTTGAAAACAGGTAAAGATATCACTTGTTTTCAATTGTCACTTGAATATCCTTAAAAATATTAATCGACCAGGAGGAATTTGAGAATTGCCAAAAAATTTATTGATATCTGTAGATTGTGTTCCCTATAGATTTCTCTCATTTCGAATATCACTGCAAATCAGCTGTTTAGTTCCATTATAAGATTTTTGAGCAGTGCAGACCAATGACTATTCTAAGGATAAAACCCAGGACCTCATTGTCTTGAGGCTAACTTATAGCTATTGGAATCATGTGGTAGGCCTTCAGTGATGAAATTACAGATTCAATAAATTTGTGATATTGTGTGATGGTCATTTATTGTCATTCGCGAAAACTGACACCCGAACTCCAATCATTATTTGTCACTAGAACTTCAGGAACATATTGAAAGAAGTCTTTGGTTAGCTGACTGTTGTAGCTTAGTTCAAATGGGTTTCGTGGAAATTGATTTGTCTGTAGATTGCATTTGTCACTGATTTAACTTTCCACAAAACCTTTTAACTAAATTATTGATATCTCTTATTAGACTATGAGTATTCATGATTAGGATAGACAATCGGTAACGATTACCCCCAGGTTAGATTGGTTAAACTTTGGATCTTTGGCTGCTGAGTTGATAAAGTAAGGTTGTATTTTCAGAAAACATAAATTTGTCATGAAATGTGAGGCTTTTGCTAGAATCCTCGGACTTACTCATCTACATATATTCATAATCTCAACTGATATATATACTTAGACCGTAACAGAGTAAAGCACATTGAGGGTGTCTGTTCCCACCACCCCACTTTTAATTTCTAAGATAATTGAATAGTAAAAAATTAAATTCTTTATGGGTTCAGTCAGTCAGTAAGCTACAATGCAAGACCAGGTACACATATGCGTCGGTTCAAGTTGCCATACTTTATTGGCACAATAAGATGAATACCAAAGTCATAAAGTAATTACTTCAATAGCAATAATATATATAAATAAAGATTGCATACAAGGATTTGGTACAGCGAGAAGGAATTAGTTCATAGGAAGGAAGATGTAAAGTAAATTTTATCTCACGGTTTAAGGGAAGACAAAGTGTGCACACCTACGCCATTGTGATTGATTCTGAGCCATGTCACTCACAGTTTCCAACCATTGGTCATGATAATCAAGCGGACCCCAACCAAGTAGTTTACATCTACCAACATGGTTAAGATTAGAAGTTAGTGATTTCAAGGACTGATGCCACGTTTTGGTTTGTCCGTCCTTAACTCTTTATCGGTTAACGCAGAAGCATTGTTTAGAATGTTTACATGATTCTTATGAACTAATGAACAGCTATGCTATTTATATTTGATAAAACAGGCTCAAACGAATGGTGTATTTTAATCCCTATATTTGAAAAATAATAACACTTCAAGTCTAAGATGTCATAGAAAATAAATGGTCAACATAAAGATTAGTCAGTTCCTTAACAGTATTGACTATAAAACTTTCCGGTTGGCAAGCATTTAACCATTGATATTCGTAGTTATTCTATGCTTTCTTCAAGTTCTCTATTACCGAGTAGTGATTTATTTACAATAACTGATCATGGGCTAATGACTACTTTGTTTTTAAAGTCTTTGGTGTTAAACAAATGACTAGCATTAAGATATAGTGTTGACATTAGGCTAGATGACGTGAAATCACCTTTCCATCTGTTAGATGTTGTGTAGTTAAAGGTAACTTAGGGGAAGCGCTTGACATTTGATGTATGCAACTTGATAGTTTTTCCAAAGCTACACAGTGGTTAAAAGTCAAATGCCATAACTAATGAGCAATCACATTCTTATATATGAGACGACTGAATATAGCCTGTTACCACGAAAATTCAGGTGATTCGCGGAATGACTGAAAGAATATACCGTCTCGAACATTTTCTGAATAAACTAGAAATTATCAGAAAGGGGGTTTTGCGGAGATTATCGTAATATAATAGTTGATCCACATTATACCATCAAGGATTTTAACACAATTGGATACCTGCTCAGTGGTCTAGAGAATAAATGTTCGCACGCGAGACTGATAGATCCTGGATCCAAGTCCCACATGCGGGATCGTAGATGTGAGCTACTGAGGATTCCCATACTAGAATGAAAAAGCCATTTAATACTTTCATGTTTTCAATGACAGTTTAGCTTAAATCAACTCATAAATTCAACTATCAAGCTAAAAATTACTTCGTGATATACAAATTTTGAAGAAATCATTTTATATTCTCAAAATATCTTCTATTTTTATTTGAGGAAAACGCAACAACAACAAAAACTGTTGGGAACGTTGGATCCCCAAAACTTACTTTGGAAAATTTGTGTTTCATTGTTTTCGCGTCAAAGGCGCTTTTGTCACCTTCATGTCGCATTTCCCACTGGGAAATATCTTAAATGCTATTGGTTCGTTGCGTCTTTTAGTATGCTATTTGGTAACTCTCCCCAAGGATGGTTTTGCACTGTATATATATACGTTTTGAATTGTGTTTGTTGTTATCGCTCGTTTCTGGCTGTTTGCAGAATGTGCTTCCTCATTCCAAGATTGGACTTCTCCCTCTAGTTAACGGGGCTGGGACGCATCAAATAGCTAGCTCACTGGTCTTTGGTCACCGAGTCTTGTTTCTCATTCGCAAATTAAGTAAACTCGTAATAACTTCAACTCTAGCAAAAACAAAAATAACAATCCACTGAAAATTGATCGAAAAAGAAAAATAATTTCCATCGAAACAAAACTTCAACAATAAGAAAAAAGATAATAAGGACTCAAAATTTAATTTTACCAACAAAATAGAAAACGTTTCCAGGTGAACGTTTTGAAACGAATGTAAAACCAAAAAAAAAAAACGAAAAAGAAACAAAAAAAACCCTCTATACATTTTAAACTATTTATACAAATCTAAATAGAATACAACATGAATGAATATAAGTGTTTTTCAATAATTATTCAAATTTAATTATAGCGCTTTTAATTCATTTAAACAAAACATAATTAAGAGTAACATTGAAAATTGAATCACAATTTTATGTAGGATTTTGGTGAAGTAGATAATTTAGTTAATTGATTTATCAATGCCCGTTATATGATCGTTGTTGTGGTTGTTGTAGTTGTTGTTGTGGTTGTTGTTGTTGTTGCGGTTGTCGTTGTTGTAGTTGTTGTTGATCGTTTACTTTGAAGTTTAATGGATATTTGAATAAAATGATATGAAATGATTTATTTACAATGATCCAAAGGTATCGTTCTATTTAACGTTGGGTTAAGTGTATTGAAACTTCAAATGTGGTTTATGGTATTGGTGATAGTAAATTTCTGTTGAAATTCTATGTATATCAAGTTATATGTAATTGAGTTTGTTTACATTTAGCTTGATTAAGGTCTTTTGTTAACTTATTTAACGGATAGAGTCATTCGTATAAGAATAGCATATCTTACATCATTGTACTGTTAGTTTTTGTTTCACTTGTATGAATATGTATGCTTGTGGTATGTGTTATTTATATTGATATAAGTAGTATATGACAAGAGTCAGGAATGTAATGGCTAACAGCAGAAGATGGAGGAAGATCAAGAAAGGAAGAGTGGGAATAGAAAGCAATTAATATGGAAATGCAAGAACAATGAAGTTCAAGGCAATTATTGAACATTTTACAAATTAAGTATTATAGTATGATTTTTCTATTTTGCCAAGTATCTCTGTAATGTTGTGCTGAATATAATTCGGTTGTCCTCACCTGTGGTCTTGTCTTATGTCGTTTAATGTCGTTTATGATATTAGTGAAATTGTAATTTTCTGTTGAAATTTAATGTTTTATTATATAAATGTGAATAAGTGATAAGCTTGTAGTTGTTATAGAAACTTATATCCTTGTGATCGGTTGAATTTGGTATTGATTTTAATACTGATTATATATGGGTGATTGTAAGTATAATGAAAATGTTTTTGATTGGATTGAATTATTGAGTTAATCCTACGGTTACAATTGATAGTTGACTCATTGATCAAATGATTCAATATTTGTAGTCGTGGTAACGAGGTATATGAATTCATGTTTTATATGACTTAGTAAATGGGTTCATAGTGTAATCAGCTAGTTAATTAGCTTCAACTGTTGATACTTGGTATGATTTACTTAAATCTTCCCATTGATCAATCTCTTATTGATATTGCCTTGATAATGCCTTAATTCATAAGCTTTATAAGCAAAAATGACACAATCAAGTGACTATCACGACTTAGTAGCGAACAGTACTGGGTTCGAGTTCCGGGGGTGAACATCAACTTCGCGATGTAGGTACATCCAGCTGACTAGTCCCGAATAGGATGAAACGCATGTTCTGAATGCCACTTCTAGCCACCAACCATCTTTATATCTAATTTTCTATTCAGAAAATCTTAACAATTTCCATTAATTAATGTATATGTAAATGAGTCATTATCAAAATTAAATAAACATTATCAAGTCAGTTAACTATAATTAATCATTTGAATAAACAAATAATACACAGAATTAATTGATAATTAATACATAATGAATGAAGAATTCTCTTCGCTTTGTCTTCTTCTTCTTCATTCCTTATGTTGATCAATCTGAATAGCAAACAACAAACTAATACAAATAACTATCTATCAGGAATTTCATTTCAATGAAGCATTAAGACAATGTGTATTGTACCGTATACGTATGTATGTATGTGTTATTTTCACAAGTGTAAAATGTAATCACAATGGGGTTTATAGAAATTATAGTAATTTTAATAGTTGAATTCATGAGTCA